AATGGCTGTAAATCACGGCGGCAATCTTCGTTTGTTTCGAACTAAGCCCACTAGTCTGTTCACGTTTGTTGTTGGCCATTGTAATATTATTCGTCTCTCAAATGACTGATTCGAGAACTATATAAAAGTTATATATAGGATACCTCTGTGGACATTTCATACTTTCTATTTCATTCTCTCAACTTCATTTCTACTGTTACATCAATTTGTTAATACCTTACATGGTGTCTTAAATGGTTAACTAAATAAGGCGCAACATTGGTGCAGATGGCTAGTAGTGTGTTGTACATCTCAAAAAATGCCTCTTGTTTCAGGACGTAGGGTTAGGCATTGGGGGGGAGGGGGGGTTACAAAAGGAACTTTTTCCATACAATAAAAGTCCCAATTCATAACGTGCATAACTTAAAATACGAAGGTTTTGATATTTTGCATTGGAAAATGTAAAATACATTGTATATAGTACTGAAAGCTTGAACTAAGCTTTCCCTTCGATGAAATCACTAAAATCAGTTTTCCGGCCATATACTAGTATTGTATATTCACGACTCCAGCCAAGTGACGTCTAAACAGGCTTTAAATAACTTCTTATAAAATGCAACTGCGCCTAGACTACAAGAATTATATGGGTACAAGTTATAAGTTCTGTCCCAATATGTTTTCAGTTAAGTGAACTGTATACCTTCATTAATTAAAGCATCACTTGATGTTCACTGCTTGTAATATTAGATCTGTTTAATTCTTTTAAAAGATTCCTCTCATTAGTAGCGCCTCACTCAAAAAATATAAAGAAGTGTGGTCTGCAGTTCTTTTTTTTTTAATTTTTTTATTTGTGAAAAAATCTGGTATTTTACAGAGTGTAAACAATAAAACACTCACAGTGCAAGGCTAGTTCACCAACATGTCTATTCCATTGCTTGAGTGTGAAAGTGCATGGTTTAGTGACTACCTCTTATATTTTTAAATTTTAGAATTTCTTTTATTTGGGAAGGTTCATCTATAAAAATAGAACAGATATATATAAATATATATATATTAGGATACGCAAAAAATACATTTACCGTCGCCTAGAGTCACACAATTATCAAATTTTAAGAGTCAACCTTTTCGACGCACGTAACACATGGCTTAATTTTAGGCTCGTCGACAAACGACAACTAACACAGGATTGAACAAATGCGTTGCAATCTTTGAACGGCAGAAAGTGCTTGCACATCTTGTGTAGAAAGGCAACACGGTTCTTGCAAACGTCCGTAGAACAATACAATATGTTCAATTTGGCTGGAAGTGAAACAGTCTTATCTCTGCATTTGAGGTATTCTCGTAATAACCTTATAATATTACTTTCACTATGTCACATTCACATTTTTAAAACATACATTTTTATGAATAATGTACACATTCTCTTACAAAGTTCTTAGCTACAGTAGTAATGGAAAGCTGTTCATAGTGACTTTGTAGATAGTTTTATGAATAAATGAAATTGTTATCACATACATGTACAA